CCCCATCCCCAAAACCCCAAAACCCCAAAACCCCTTTTGTCAGCAATTAAATTGAAATCAAATATGATCAGCCAGTTCTCAAAGAAGTCTCCGAAACTTATGCAGAGTCTCTCACTTGTGTCTTGCAGAGCAATGAGTGCATCCAGTCCTTCCGGCTTCAAACACTTCGAACTTAAAGATAGACATAAAGAACTCCTGACTCAAGAGTTCTTGCAAGAAAGAGCTGTAGAACTTGGCAGAGACGGGTTCACCATCATTCACGATCTCTACGACTCCGAAACCATCGATGCTGTCAGAGATGAAATGGACTCCATCATTTCTGAAGCAGAGAGCACAGGCCTTGATGAAAACGCAGTGTTCACAACAAAGAAACAGATCGAGCATCTCTCCGAGTCAGTGGACTACTTCCTTGACAGCGGCTCGAAGATAAGCTTTTTCTACGAAAAAGATGCTTTTGACAAAGATGGAAACTTAGTTGGGCCTTTGAACAGTGTCCTCAATAAAGTTGGACATGCAATGCATGACTTGAACCCGGCTTTCCACCAGTTCTGATACTCCAACTTGGTAAAGTCTCTGGCTTGAAATGTTCTGGGCTTTATCAACCCTTGTCTAGTTCAAACAATGTACATTTTCAAGAGCGCTAAAGTTGGAGGCGAAGTCAATCCTCATCAAGACAACACTTACATCATATCGAATCCTCTTTCATGCAAAGCCATTTGGGTTGCATTGGATGACGCCACCAAAGAAAATGGGTGCATGTGGGGGATCCCAGGCTCGCACAAAACGACTCCGATCGATTACTACATGAAAGCGAAACGAACAGAAATCAAACACCAGGATGGCTCGTTCTCTCACTATGAAAGCAGCGTTTTCTACGAACCTGAGAACCCTCCAGAGTACACAATTGAAAATGAAGTTCCGCTTGAAATGAAGAAAGGCAGCATTGTACTCTTTGATGGGTCTTTTGTGCACTACAGCGATCACAACTATTCAAGCAAGAAGAGACATGCCTTCACAATGCACATGGTTGAAACCAAAGATACTGTCTGGAGCAAAGACAACTGGCTTCAGAGAACTCCAGACAATCCTTTCAGACTCATGTTGGAGCAAGATCCTTAATGGATGATTTAAGATTCAATCTAAGAAATCAAATTAGGGGTTTTGGGGTTTTGGGGTTTTGGGGTTTTGGGGTTTTGGGG